CCGCGGAAGAACCCCCCCCGCAAAACCGACCTTTCTCACGGGCCCCAGGCCCCAGAAGAACCCCCCCCCCAAAGCGGACTCCTTCGTTCAGGCTTTTGGACCTCAACCCATGGATTGGGAACCATCGGCGGGCCCCCTAGAAGAGCAGATGACAGACAATACCCCCAAGGCTTGGGGGTCACAAGGGGAAGAGGATGTCGGGACCACACTAAGGGGCCTGGAAGATGGTTAATTGGCCAACTCCATGCACTATACATAGGCCAAACAGAGTCATACTAAGACAAGGCTTATGTACAACTGTTTTTTGTTTTTTTTGTTTTTTTTTTTTAACAAAACAACCCAAGTGAGTGTTAGAGGTGCTGATAAGAGCAGACACCGCTAGCATGCCCGGGGAGGCTCCATCTATCGGTGGGGAGCAACACCTGCTGGAAATCGGGTCCGGCGTCCCTTTTTTTTTTTCTTTTTTTTTTTTTTTTTTAACACACAGCCCGGGCTATGCTAGGAGTGCTGATATGAGCAGCCACCCCTAGCACCCCCGGGAGGGCTCCATCTATTAGTGGGGAGCTGCACCTGCTGGAAACCGGGTCCAGCGTCCCATTTACAAGAGAGGATTATATCCTGAAAGTAAGAACAACGATGAAGATGAGGCCTGCCAACATTGACTACCGTATATCTCAGGGGATTGACTGAGCAGGGGTACATAGTGTACATGTGTCTGTTTCCAGTCCTATGCTACTTATCCATGTCCAAAAGAAAGAACCTTTTGCATCTCTTCACCCTCAGAAGCAGGCGCCAGATGTGCTGTGCAAAACTGATGCTACCTCAGATATGATTTCTTCATGACATGCTTGATCTCCTAGTTTGCAGGACCCACCCCAGGGGGCTCTGGGGAGGGGACCGCATGAAAGTCACTTAGAGGTCGCTTAGAACAGGATTAGATAGAATATAATTATAATGGCTTAAACAGAATTAGAACAAAATTAGAAGAAAATTAGAACAGAATTAGGACAGAATTTCCATCATAGACAGGGCATGGGGCGGGAACGGGTCGGGAAAATCCGAAGGGGGGCGTAATGGGAACGAGGGTTCTATGTTAGTCCACTCTCTGAAGACCAGCCTGTAGTCTCTCATGTGTTCTAGATCCCTTGTCGTGTCCTCTTTATCCCCACTCCATACCACTTTTGCCATCCATCCTTCCCTTTCCCCTCCCACCCAATCTGTGCAGAAAGCCTTAATTTGTCTCCTGACGTCTCCAGTCTGTTTTAGTAAATCCAGCTGTGACTTTGCATCCTTCCACTTCTGTGAGAGAAAAGTGTGGATCTGTTGTTGAATCTGTTCTATTATCTCTGATCCCTCCACCCGTACTTTCTCCATAGTCAGTATACATCTCTGCCACCAGAGTGCCCAGATCACCGCTCTCCTTCCTAATCTGTACATATTCTCTACAAATGTTGTGGCGGTGGCGGCCAATGGCTGGCTAATATAGCTTGCCATGACCAAGGCCAGGGTATGTCAGGTATCATTTTCCGCCAAATGCGGTCCCACCATCTCCATATGAACAACGCAATCGGACATTGCATGAAAATGTGTTCGATGGTTTCCGCTTTTTTGTAGGGGGGAAAAAGGGTTAGGCAACGCTGACACCATGGGAGCAGCAACCCTCTTTGCTCAAGATTCGTTCGGTCTGTCAGCCAGTCATTTGTTGGCAGACAGCGATGAGCTATCTGCCACTAAAGAGAGGAGATTTTCATCGGTTTAGATTTTTGTTCTCTAAACCATTTAATCGGTGTCAGAAGAGATCGATCCAGATTCAGGTGTTTGACCCATCTGCCATTTACTGTGTCTTTTAACTGCCGCTTTGGTCTGAGCAATCTATAGGCTGATTTCACCGAGATCTGATATAGACTAGTGTGACTAGTATGGCTTGTTCTAGCGGCCCTCGTGGCTCTTTTCCTTTGCGGATGCTGCCAGATCCATTCCACTGGGTCTAAAGGCAGGTTTTTTATTGGTTTCCCGGGTTGAAAGGCCACCTTTTGGCCCTTCTCCTCGATAACCCTTACCCTGTAGAGTAATGACCTGTCTCTCCATACAAGGGGAACTCTACTTCCTTGGAGAGAACCGGTTTTGGTAATAGTATAGTCCTCAACCAGGGCTATTTGTGGTGAGACCAAATGGATCAAGCCAAGGTTTTGCGGGGACCCCGTATTTGCCACCCAATCCCCTTCCTCCAATGTGGGACCTCATTTAAGGGTCCGATACCAATCAAGTGGGATAAGTTCAATTATATGTCTCAGTAGTTCTTCTGTGTGGTGGCAATACCTTAGGGGGCCTCGGAGTTCTTCCCCCGTTTTCCAATCCTTCCTGTCTTCGTCCCACAAATCTCCTACTCTCTGTATCCCATTTTTCACCCAACTCTTTCATGGTGAGGACGAACTTACCATCACATAGCCCCTCGTACAGGTTACCCATCTATTCCCAAATAGGGTTCGTCGGTAGATTTTTTCCCATCGGTCCAGGGGGACCCTGTCTGGAAGCGGGAGCCTGCGCCAAGTTTGTAGCAAGGATGGCCAGAAACTGTCAAACTTCAGCCTCCCTCTTTCTGCTTATGCCGTATTTTGTGGGAATTTGCGTGGGACTGTCCAAAACCGATCCTCCAACCAAGTCAGTGGGTGGGTTGTGTGGGGGGTTGCTGGGGCCAGACGGGCCAGGTGTTCCAAGGCTAGAACACTCCATGGATTTTGTGGGGAGAAGATCAGTTGCTTGATCTATTTTATTCGCAGCGCATGAGCTTGTGTGTCAGGGTCAATCACTCCCAAGCCTCCGGCTGCTTTTGGTTGTATGATTGAGTCCCAGGCCACCCGACTTATGGCGTTGGGTAGTTTTTCATCCCCCCTCCATAGGAAGGCTGCTGCTTTTCTTCTTAAGTTTTTTAAGGCCTCTTTACTCAGGGGCCACAATAAGGATTTATACCATAATGTTGCAAAGATCACATTATTAAGCACCAAAGCTCTTCCAAATAGAGAGGTGTGTTTGTTTTTCAAATTATTGAGTTTGTGCTGGGTCGGGGTGCCGATCCAATCGTCGTTTATTGGGGGGCGCCCTTCTATGGTCATGGATACCCCCAGAATCCTGATCGGGGCTTCTGGTGGTTTCCAGGCTATGCGCGGTATAGCAGGAGGCCGTCCCCCCTGGTAGTGGATCCACCACCATGGTGTCTTGGACCCCCAATTCACTTTCATGTCCGACACTCTCGCGAATTTGTCCATTATTTGTTGGATTTCTTCCATATTACGGTGTGTAGCCTCCACCATTATTGTGAGGTCGTCTGCAAACAAGGAGCATACTGGGATTGCGTCCTCCGAGATGTTTGTAACTTTGATTTTTGTGATGTTTTTATTTGCCCGGAGGTTAGCAGTCAGTGCCTCCATGAGGATGAGGAAGAGGAATGGGGCAATTGGATCCCCTTGGCGTACCGAACGTAGTAATCGTATTGGCGGCGCTAGGCTTCCGTTTGCCTGTACATATGTGGTGGCGTTTTGATGCAAGATTTGTATCCAATGTCTGAAGTCTGGTCCAAAGTTCATTTTTTTTTTAGGCATTTGTCCAGAAAAAAACAGTCCTTGTGGTCGTATGCTTTTTCGAAGTCAATGAAGACTAAGGCCGCATTCTGTCGTGAGTGTCTTGTTAGCTGAAGTATTTCATGGATTAGCAGGATATTTTCTTGTATGTTCTTGTTTTCCATGAACCCGATTTGGGCAGGGTGGATAATATCCTCCATTACTGGGATCAGTCTATTTGTCAGGGCTTTGGACAACATTTTATACACTACTGTGAGTAGTGTAATTGATCTATAGTTTCTAATGTCCATCTTGTCCCCTTTTTTGTACAGTAAGGTTAGTACCCCTTGTCCCACCCGTTCCCCCATTCCCCCTGTACGCCAGACTTCTTCGTAGAATTCCATGACATCCTAGCCTATAAAATCCCATGTAGTCTTCCAGAATTCTTTGGGGAAGCCGTCTATTCCAGGAGCCTTTTCCTCCTTCATTTGCATTAGGGTCGTCCATATCTCGTTTTTAGAGAGCGGGGTTTCCAAGGAGTCACGTTGCTAAGGTGTCAAGGCTTTGTTCATTGGTTCCAAAAACTTTCCTATCAGCTCTTCGTGACATTCTGTATGTGTGAGGAAAATAAGTCCTTGTAAAAATCATATGTTATCTTCATACAGCGGGTTGTGGTTGTGGCCGGATCTGAATCCCTGGCATTCGGTTCATACAGGGCCTCAATCGAAGTTCGTTGGTGTCGTGTTTTAGCCATACTAAAGAATCGTGAATCCATCGCCCCTTCTGTGGCGAATTTAGAAAGCCTTGCCCTCGTCTAGGCTCCTTGCCACCGGTATTGTGCATGCTCAAAAAGTTGATCTTTAAGATTGGGTCCCTTGACATTTAAAAAATGTTTGTTATGAAGATATTTCGAGCTCATATAAGCATGCCACATGTCCCTCCAGCTAACAAAGAGGAATCATCTTAAAAATTTCTCAAAACCAACACGTGGACACACCAGACACCCGATGAGCAGCATTGATTGCCCTCAGCTGAGGGGATTAACTGCCCATCCAATCGAAAGTCATATCCCTACTGTAATTTTCTCATCATCAAGCACGTAGATCCTTATCATGACATGAGGAGGAGAGGTAATAAGCAGCGGGAAAGATGGCGCCCCCCCATCGAAATCCTCATTCCTTGCCTATTCTGAACTTCTTATCAGGCCCCCCCAAAAAACTAATAGCGCCTCATCGGTAAGGAAGAGGGGTAATCAGAAACGGCAGCAATTTATACAAACTCATCATCGAAAGGGAGGCAGGCAGAGAATTATAGCAGAACGACCAAATGGCAGTACAGGACAGTTTCGCAAGCATCCGTGATATCTATCCGTGGTGCCAATTCCTCAGCACACCCTTTTTCCTGCCACATGATCGAACCCATGTTCTAAAACGCCACACAAGGCATACGTTGCCATATTCATTTACCCTTTTTACAAGCATGACCAGTCAACACACAATCCCCAAAAGGGCACGAGAAAACCAGCCTCTCGCGCGCTAACCTTTGCGACACGTATATCCAAACTACCCTATCCCACCCCTACTCGCCACCATCCAGCTTCCCACATCCCCATACAATCTTCCTGCTCACCAAACAGTCTGATCACCCACCCCTGTCGCCGAAGACCCTGGTCATTCCTCAAGATAGACCACGAAGCGAAGAAGGAAAGATGAAAAGAAGGGGAAAGAGCCTGCCTACTATCTTGGTCGTTATCATGTTTGTGGTCGCCAACTGTTTTGTCGTTGTCAATACTGTCATTGCAATGATATCCATTGCACTCGTCGGTGTTCCCAGTCATGTTATCACCTGCTGGGTTGTTGATGTCGCTGGTGATGTTGCAATCGTTGCCTTCTCCCAGCGCCCACATGCCGTCGTCATGCACAAAAAAGTTATCGTCGTTAATATTTGCACCCCGCAGCACAACCACCGCGAGATCCTCATTGTTGTTGATATTGTCGTTATCACTGCCGTTGTCGCCAATTTCTCCACGCGAAGCACCGTGAACACCATTGTGACCGACGTCGATGCTGATGCTATTATTGAATTTGTTATCGTCCTGTTCCCCACACTGACAACCGTCAGCTTCACATCAATTGTCGTTGTTGTTGTTGTTTTTGTTATCCCTATTGTCACCGCACACAGCCAAAGCCCCTCCTCCCCGCCGAGCGCACTGAGCAAACAAGCAGTCCCCCCAATCCGCCACGCGAACCCTGCCTCTCCTCAAGCTCCGTACAGCAAATCGCGACCTCCTTGTCCACAGAAATAACGGAAGTACCGACATCATCCACTTCGTACAATCGATCCGACATCGTATCACAAAGCACCTGCCTCTCCTCAAGCCCTCCGTAACAACGCCGTTTCAAGTCTTCACATCTTGTATTGTCATGCACTCCTTCCCAAAGCTCCGCGAAGATTACTCTCAGTTTCCCCATCATTTCAGTACACTCACTCAACTCAGCCATCTCCTGTGCTCTCCCGACAGTACTCAACCTTCGAAGCACAAGATTTGCGCGGATCTCCTCCCCCCACCCGATCAACAATTCCTCTCCCTCCTCCAAAAGTTTCGGTGATAAGTTGTGGCGATGTTCTATCAGCGCGGCATAGATATTCTCCATCTGTCGCTTTTGCGTCCGCACCATATCCAGCGTTTCTTTGTCTTCTTCAAACGAAGCAGCAGCCGCTGCATCCTGCCTGAACGCCGCATCCATCGCCAACATCATTTTATTTGTCTTATTATGTTATCAAGGCTGCCCCCAAAACTCACGCGCTGCTTATACGATCCAATCTTTCAATCCCTCACGCCGATATGTCGTTGCCTCAGGATGCCACGTGAGACAACCCCACCTACGCCCATTGCCAAAACACCAAGCGGACACCCAAACAACCAAGAGCAGCTATGGCGCTCCCCAGAGTCGCCACCTCTGCCCCAGTCTGCGGAGTGCGGTCGGGCCTCGCCGACCGGTCCGCAGCGCAGGTTAGCGCTAATAGCGCTCCGTGTCCACCACCTCTGTGTTGTGCTTCTTGTGGGGATCTGGCACCATGTGTACAACTGTTTTCTTTACTTTATGAGAGCACCATGATGTGTACAACTGTTTTCTTTACTTGATGAGAGCCCTAGCCTGAATCAGGCTTTGGGACAAGGTATATCCCCGGAAATTGATTGACAACAAATGTTGTGCAGAGTCTGGAATATTGTGCACAAAAAAATTCATCCCCCCACAACGATAGGAACGTCAGACCTATCCAAGAGGATAGTAAATACAGGCCGCGCAGACAAGCCCCCCCCACACCCCCTGATCGGCCACGACAAAAAGGAGGTACACAACAGGCCATGCACAATGAACAAACCGAGCAGGGAGAGCGCGAGGCCGCAGAGGCAGCAAAGGAAACAAGACCCTCAAAGCGGGCAAAACTCCGCCATCTCATTGAGAAGGGGCTATACCACAAAAGTTTGTCGAAGGGGGACAAGGTGTTGGTGCTTTCCATCAGGAAGAAGGTTGGAAATGGGAACTGGGTCTGTCACCCGCCGAACCAGAGAACCCATATACCCCTGCCTATAGAGGAATGACATTGCATGGCTGGCATATGCAGAGGGAAGAGGCATTTAGGACCCACGAGGTCACATGATTCAGTACAGACCATTACGAACAGGGGCAATGACCACCATCACTATGTCATCAAAGAACCTGAAGATGGCTTACAAGGATCTCTATGTGACATTCGAAGACAACAAGGAGGCAGGTTTACAATGACACATGCATAAGACGTTTTTGGACACCCAACAATTGAAAATAAAACCAAGTAACATATGGTCGACCGATGATCTACTCACATGTATATGCACAATACTGAGGAAAAATATCCTCAAACAAAGGGGTGGACTGGGAGATGCAAGAATAGTCACAGTTACGAAACAGATAATGGAGGGGAGGGTAAAGGGGCACACAAACTGCGATGGATTGGATATAAATTGTGTATGGTAAAAACAAAAAATGGAGACATACCCTCCAGCAGGCAGACCTTGATATGAGATCGATTGATGTAAATGGTCTAGCGTCCCACAACCCGAAAAAAAACGAAGCGTTATGGGACTTAATGGGAGGGGTCAGTGGAAGAACATGGTCGGACGTAGTTTGCGTCCAGGAAACTCGCCTAATGGACACACCAGAGCACCACAGGGCACACAAGCAAGCTTGGCCTTTCCAAGGCTACCAAGCTTTTGCCCCCAAACCGGGGAGTGTCGGGGTGACAATATGGATCCCGCCAGAATCACGATTAGAAGTACTCAACTGGGAGATGAATAAGGAGGAGGGACGATGGGTTAAGGTGTCGGGCATGTTGGAACTAGAAGTGGTGTGCCTTGTATCCCTATATGCCTCTAACACAACCCGTGAGAGAAAAACTTTTTCTGAAAAAATTGAAACGGTCCCTACCCCAGATTTTCCAATAATCCTAGCCGGAGACTTCAATGCCGCACTGGATAAATGGCTGGACCGAGAGAAAGTCTCCCCCACTACCGCATACAATGCAGAGGAGGACGAGCAGATGCTATGAGACATATGCGCTCCCCTCTCGATATTCGACACCTTCAGGCGCAGCTACCTGACCGAAAGAGTCTTTACCTGTATTCAAAACAATGACCCCGTCGGACTGTTTAAATCCTGGATCGATTTAATATTGGCTTTAGAAGAGTTGGGAGAGGGGCTCACTGTGGTGGCAATACTACCGACCAGCATGTACCTAGGTCGGGACCACACGATGTGTATGGCAGTTTGGACCTTTCGCAAATGGCCAAACCAGGGGGCTAGCTACTATAAACTCAATACCTCCCTGATTCGATCAAAATCCTTCGAGAAATACCTGCAGCAAGTTCGAGAGTTCTGGAAAGACTACCGCCCTCAACAAGATTCTCATATCGCATGGTTTAACAACAAACTTTTTTTATGGCAAAAAAATGCAACGAATATTTCAAATACACACCAGCAAGAAATCATGATTATGCAAAACCTCGTGGACGCATAACAAAAGCAAAACTCGCAAGGGCAGGAACAAAGGACCTTTGAACTACAAACTCACATACAAGACTTAAAGACCCTGCTACTGAAACACGCACAGTATCGATGGTAGGGAGCCCAAACAATGACAAGGTTATCCAGGTTCTCTACTGAAGGAACAGTGGAATCTCACTTCTTCAGCCTGACCAGAACACGAAGCAAAAAGACCACGATCAAGGCCCTTTACAAACCGAAAGTCAGGGAATCGGCTCCGGTCGTGACCACGACCTGATGCACTAAGATAACATACAACTTCTACAAAGATTTTTTCTCCTTGCATGCGGACAAGTCGGAAGCGCCATACCACGATCACCTAATAAAAAATTTGTTGGAACCGATAAACAAAACACTGACACCCGAACAACGCGAATCCTTAGAGGCCCCACTCTCGAAACAAGAGATATGGACTGCCCTCCTGCAAATGAAGGAGGAGAAGGCACCCGGGATTGACGGCTTCCCTAAGGAGTTTTGGGAAACCACATGAGATTTTTTTAGCCAGGATATCATGGACTTCTACGAAGAAGTATGGATCACATGTGAGATGGGAGAAAAAAAGGGGCAAGGGATACTGACCCTCCTATATAAGAAAGGGGATAAAATGGATACCAGACATTACCGCCCAATTACAGTCCTCACAAAGTCACAGTAGTGTACAAAATGTTATATAAAGTCTTACAAACAAAATGATCTCGGTAATGGAAGACATCATCCATCCCTCCCAAACCGGCTTCATGGAGAATAGGAATATACAAGAGAATATTTTGTTGGTCCCATGAGATACTCCAGCTCACGAGACACTCTCGTCAAAACGTGACCTTGTTTCATCGACTTCGAAAAGGCCTATGACCATGTGGACTGGTTGTTTCTGGACAGATGTTTGGAAAAAATGAATTTTGGGCCAGATTTCAGGCACTGGATACAAATCTTACGCAAAAATGCAACCACTTGTGTCCAAGTCAACAGATGTCTTGCGTGGCCCCTACACCTGGAGCGGTCGGTTTGCCAGGGGGACCCAATTGCACCCCTTCCTTTCCCTGGTCATTATGGAAGCACTAGCTACCAACCTTCAGACAAAAACATGACTAGAATTCGAGTCACAAGCATTCCGGAGGATGCAATCCCGGTGTGCTCCCTGTTTGGGATGATCTCACAATAATGGTAGAGGTCACACACTGCAACATGGAGAAAATTCAAAAGATGATGAAAAAGTTTGTCAGGGTTTTCGACATGACAGACAATTGGGGGAGCAAGGCACAAGGATGGTGAATTCACTATCAAGGGGAACGCCTTCCAGAGTCACCACGCATTACATGGATGCCGTTAGAGACCCCGATAAGAATCCTAGGGGTATCCATGACCACAAAGGGGTGTCCACCAATCAATGGCGAATGGATCAGCGATCCGGCTCAGCAAAAACTAAACAATTGGAGAAACAAACACACATCCCTGTTCGGTCGCGCACTAGTAGTTAACAATGTAATCTTTGCAACATTATGGTACAAGTCCTTATTGTGGTCACTAAGCAAAACGGCCCTAAGCAGCCTAAGAAAAAATGCAGCGGTTTTTCTATGGAGGGGAGATGGCGAGCAAAGCAATGTAATTAGCCGAGTGGCGTGAGATTCAATTATCCAGCCTGAGGTGGGGGGAGACCTAAGAATAATTGACCCAACCCACAAACGGTTATCGGATAGCTGAAAATTCAGGAATGAAAATTCTGAAGTGAAGAGTTTTGGGTAGTCTGAAAATCCTGAATGGTTCTGAAGTGGTGAAAGGTTCGACGACCCTGAAAACCACCTGTTTAGGCAGGCTGCATCCTGAAGTGGTGAAGGGTGTCCTGAAGTGGTCAACTGAGAGTTTTGGGCAGTTTGAAAATCATGAATGGTCCTAAAGTGGTGAAAGGTCCGAAGACCATGAAAACCACCCTTCACCACTTGAGGATGCAGCCTGCCTAAACATGTGGTTTTCAGGATCTTCGGAGCTTTCACCGCTTCAGGACCATTCAGGATTTTTAGACATGAATGGTCCTGAAGTGGTGAAAGGTCCGAAGACCCTGAAAACCACCTGTTTAGGCAGGCTGCACCCTGAAGTGGTGAAGGGTGTCCTGAAGTGGTGATGAAAAATACAACTGTTGTTAACCTTCTCTCACCCAACCACCCAAGTGCAAGCATTACGGTTAAAATGGATTAAAAAGCTCATTTTCGCCCCCCACAACCCATGATGCATTGTAACTCTGGAACACTTGGCCCGACTGGCCCCGATAACCCCCCAAACGATCCACCCACTAACATGGATGGAGGACCGTTTCTGGACGTTCCCACGTAAGCTCCCACAAGGAAATGAGAGGTTGGATGGCGGCGGCCAAACGATGTATAACGTTTCACCATCTCTGCTAGAAACCTGGTGTAGACTCCCACTCCCAGACAGGACCTTCCCCAACCGTTGGGAAAAAGTCTACCGACAACCCCTCTTTGAAAATCGATGGGTGACAGATCTGAGAGGTTGCGTCATGACAAGCCCATCCCTGCCTTGAAAAAGTTAGGTTAAACGAGTAGTACTTAGGGTTGGGGATCTCTGGGACAACGAGAGATAATACTGGATAACAGGAGATAACTTGCGGGAAACCCTACAACACTACCATCATGTAGAGGAGTTCTTGGATAACCTAATTGAAGTCATCTCACTGGCGTGGTACCGAGTCTTAAACGAGGCCCCACCTTAAGAGTAGGCGATTGGGTGGCGAGTACGGGGACCTCATTGATGATCGGTTAGGTACATATGGTCTCACCCCAAACAGTCCTGGTCAAACACTACACTATCACCAGAGCGGGTACCCTCCAAGGGAGTAGAGCCCCCTTTGAATGGAAAGAGAAAGCATCAGTGTACCGAGTGAAAGTTATAGAG